GCATGTGGAGCAACCTCAAGGAGTTCTTCCGAACATGTTTCCCGGATTCTCGGATGCCTATTGACTACTGAGTAACTGGTCTTCTCTTCTCTATCCGTAAGATCAGTGCAGGAGCAAGTATGAAAAGACACCCTCTAAATTAAATTGGTTCTTCGATCTTCAACAATCTTGAGATTCCGCCTCACCTACTCCACCTTTGTTTGGAACCAAAACGACATTTTTAAAAAAATACAATTAAATTAATAATCATAATAGCAATAATATGTAATCTTAAAAAAAAAAAAAACAACGCCCCCAAACCTCCCCAACCCCTCTCCCCTATCACATCCTAATTACCCCCCCTTCCCTCTCCTATACCTTAAGCTTATCATAGCACATCATCCAAAACGCCCATCCTCCGGACGCCGACCGGCACCGCCCTCCGCCTCGGGCACCTCCCTGGAGCCACTCCGCCCGAAAAGCGACAAGGGTGAGGTCTCCTCACCCGACGGGGGCGAGCCGGGAAGCCCGCGCGGCGTGCGGTTTGGAAGGGGTTTGGGACACTCTAGTCCTCTTCAGAAACCCCTTTTGTTCACGAAAGAAGAGGAGTTTGGTTGACAAACGAAACTTCTTCAGCTACGTCCCCTCACAACTCGGTCCCCCCCGACCGAGGGGCGCACAGCGGTTCCGAAAAGGTGAACATGAAGGGTCATGTGATGTGGAGAGAAAAGGGTATATAGTGGTCCCCTTACATAGATGACCGTGGCACCCTTGGCCAATACATGTTCGACGTGGGGATCTACGAACTTCTATCTATTTTTCAGGGGGTCTATATATGCATATATATAATATATATATATATAATATATATATATATGATATATGCATGTCACATGTCTATGGTTTGGATCTATCCTGTTACCAGGGCCCAGTGGATGAAGATGGTTAGCTTGCAGGCCTTTCTCTATAATAAGTGGTAATTGTTTACTGACTGTTACCGGTAGGTCCGGACAGACCCCAATCCATGGTCTATTGTAATGCAAAAAGAACTGTGCGTCATCTGAGTGCAACTATGAGGATCTATGAAGGTCTACACCTCGAATTTGCCGGGCTCGGGCTGTGTAGGGTCGTGCTGAGTCTTTGGCCTGATCTCTTCCTTACGCACGTCGTCTGAGCGCAAGTCAGTCAGGACACATGAGAACATCTGGTTTTTCAGCCTCTTAGCCGCAGAGGAAGAGTTCAAAAAAAAATCCCTAGATGTACGCAAATCCTCATAGCGGTTCTGAGGAGTGCAAAGCTTCCCCGGAGTGGTGACGTCGCAGGCGGCGCCAGCAAGAGTTTTCAGCAGCCCAATCAAAGGAGTTTCGCCCAGATCTGTGGTGGTTTGATCATATGTAGCCCCAGCTTGCGCACTACTTCCACTACTTCCACTCCTCAGCGTAGTGCAAATGAGTTGCACCCGACCCAGCCGTAGTGGCTCGACCCAGCCACCGGACCCAGCTCGACCCAGCCAGCAAATGCATCACATCCAGAAGTCTGGCCGCGCACCGATGATTACTGATACATGAATCGTCGTATGCCGCTCCAGCCTTCAGCAACGGTCCGCGCACCAAGTCCCCACATGTTGGTGCCACTCCTTTGCATTGGGCATCTGATGCAGCCCAGTGCAAAGGAGTTGCACCAGCCTCTGCAGCCGATTGCAGCTGGGGTCTGCGCACCACCTGGTGTCAACTTCTTCGAGGTGCCACATGCAAAGCTGCATAGTTCTCCAATGCTGCAGAGTCTGCAGTGTTGATGCAACCTCTTCAACTTCTTGAAGGTCTCCTTCCTGACAAGCGTCAAGGACTTCCTCATCTCCTTCTTGGTCTGGTAGTAGGAAGGCCAGCTTGACCATCTTCAGCACCAGTGGCGGAACAATCACCACATCGTCACCAACCTCCAGATGTTCTTCTGCTTGCAAGAGCCGCAGTCGAAACCTTGATCCAAATCCTCGAGACATAAGTTCCAGTTTCAGTGCTTTGATGGTGTTGCCCCGTTCTTCCACCAGAGCTTGCAACTCCTCGTCGTGGAAGACCACTGCATCTTCACCGGATGCTGCCCAAAGCACGCGCAGCGCCATCTACACAATCTCTGCGGCAATGGATATGCGTGTGACGGCGTGTGACAACTTCGAAATGGTGGAGACCTGGAATACGTCTCCTTCACCTCTCATGACTTCATTTCTATCCTGACGTGACTTTGTCGTGTATTGTGTCGTCCAATGACACTTGGATACTTAGAGCCTTGGACCTTTGAATGCCCTGAGCACTGCAATCAAGAAGCTGAGGGTGATCCCCCAAAAAAGGATTGCCCTCCAAAGAAGCATTTGATCAGTCACCGGATTTGTTGGGTCCACTAAATGTGTCTTTGTTCAATGTCCTCCACGGCGGGAGCCTAGTGGAAGCCGAGACCCAGTTGAACCCAACCCTGGGACCCCCAGAACACCGACACGCACAGACTCCCCGAACTCCGACACCACCGCGAACCTCTTTGAGGATCACCGGCGCCGCCATCCGCGGGTGCCCGACGCCAACGCCCGGAGCCCGGCGCGGAATCGACTGTCGGCTCTGAAAGGGGCCGATGCGGAATCGATGTCTTTGAGTTGCTCAGAAGTTCGGGGGAGGAGCTTCTCTATATGTGTTTCATCCTCATAGCATCGGTAAACATACCAAATCAAGTACAAAGTAATTATGGTAGTTCGAGCGCGGCCGAAAGGGCAGGCTCTGTTAAAGTGGAAGATCTGAATTTAGGTAGGGGAGTGGGTTGAATTCAGGTGTTCAGAAGAAGGAAGGAAGCTCTCTGTTCTCCAACCCGAGCTGGTGGGCCTCCATGTTTCTTGAGGCTGATGCAACATTGCAATATCGGAAGTAAAAACTCTACTGTGTGTGATTGTAAGAAGAATCACTGAGATATGTGGCTGGAGCCCAAAGGAAGCATGTTCTGCGGCTGGAACACACAATCTCCACCTCTAAAGCAATTGTCAATGGCTGGAGAACTAGATCCTCCAGACACTGTGGAGAATGTTCTGGGCCTCCTTGCGGTTTGAAGTTGTCCATCAACAGCTCAAGATTCAATCAATTATCAAGTCTAAGACGTCAAGGGCATCTTCTGAGGCAACTACTATTTTCTCAAGACCAAAACCAACATGTCAAATGAATATTGTCTTCCAAACTCACGCCGTGTCCCACTTGTCTTTCGAAAGAGTTCTTCAGTTGGAAAGCCTATTTAAGCAAGTCCATCGGGCTGCCAGCCTTTTTGAGGCGTCACCTACAGCCGGCCACCCACCTCCAACGCGCTATCCTCACCGTGTGAAATCATCACCCAGTTGCTTCGCCCCCCCGAAACGCCCCACATGGCAGATCATGGCTTCGCCCAGCCCCACCTCACCACACCCACGGGGAGACCGCAAACGACGCCGCTTCGTCCGCGACCGAGGTCGTCCGGGCGACCGACGTCCGCCGCAGCTTTTCGCTTCGCTCCGCTTCGGAGCGTGGCTCGACCGGCTCCGGTGGGACCATCGCGTCGCGCTGCGGCGCCTGGAGAACGAGGCGGTGTCCGGAGTAGTTCCGGGGCGTCCGTTCCGGGGCGTCGTACGTGAAGCGGAGGACATCTGAGACATGACGGAAGCGTGATGCGTTGGACCGTTCGGAACAGGGGTGTAACGAGACGACGAGGTAGAAAGACAACAAGATCCACCAAACCCAGAGCCTAATGGCAAAACAGGTTAAAGCATGCTAAAACAGTATGACTTCATGAGCAGATGTTGAAGCTCTCAAATTGCAATCTCATGAGTGGGGACCCATCATTGAGAACTCTATCAAAATGATTCTGATCGGCCGTGCCGCCCTAGTCAAGACACCAATTGGCACCCTCCTGGGAAAGATGTTCATGGCCTGGTGGTCTCTGGGCTACTTCAGTTGGCCGGCAGAAAAGGAAAAGGCCTGGTGGATGGGTCGTTGGCGTTCCATTCTTGCTCCAAAGCCTGTATGTTTCTTGGACGGTCGGATTGTGAAGCATGCAGCATGCACAACCTTCTCCCTAGCAAGCGCACCCCGTTTCCACGTGTCCAAGGAATTTGCTTCATTTAGATCAGCTCCCAACCCTGCCCCGTAAAATGAGAGTAGTGCTGAGGGCCCCTTGTCACCACCGCACGCGGGTCTCAAACAGCATCAACTCAACTTGTCAACCCTGTACCGAAGAGTAGAAATATCGTGCATTCTTTCTGCGCCGGCAAAGGAGCTCCGCACATATCTCTCACACGATGCTGGATGTTGGTCTTCTACATCAAAAATAGCAGGAACCAAACTCCCGAACCCTCACTTCCACACCTCCCTGCACATGGAAAGCGCACATGGAAGCGCTGCTTCTCGCCTGCTGCCGCTCTCTGGCCCTCTGCCAACCTTGAGCACCACCGGCCACTCGCCATCTCCTACGTCACTCGCCATCACCGGAATTCGGAGATGAAGACCACCGGGTGCACCACAGCCCTGAGATCTTTCGGAAGCGAACCTCCATGGAAGGGATGTTGGGTGTTTACATGCAGAGGTGAATGTGAGAGATCTGCGAGGATATCACGAACTTCTGCAGAACCTTCCTCAAAGCGTATGACTTGCTAGTGGATTCCAATGATTCGGAGAAGAATTGGAGGTCCAAAGGAAAAGGGAAGGGTCCCAGTTCATTCTAGTAATGCCCTTCTATTGTCTGTGCAAACACCACAATTGCTTTGAAACAAGCTCAACAACCCTCCAGATTCGTAAACCCGAAGGTGCAAATGGTTCGTAAACCCGAAGGTTTATAGCTGGTGTGCAACATGACCGGCGCAGCTGGCGCATTGAGGAAAAAGGCGCTGAAACCGCATTATTTTTGAATGGTCAGGAATGACCTTTAATGTGAGGCATGTTAAGAAGATTTCAGAAACATCTGGAGGTTTCATACAAAATGTCAGGTATATCCAGGAAATATCCAAAACAGAATGCCATGGGTTCTTGACCATGTGACCAGTGATGGATTCTTCCTGTCTCTTCTGACTCCTCTGTCTATTCTTGTTAGCATTATCCTGTGTGCAATCTGTGAACTTTTCAAGCACCTCATCTGAGCACAAGTTTGTCAGTGTTCTTTCTTAAGCCTCTTAGCCGGCGCATGATTCAAAAAATCCGCCACATCCTGATGGCGATTCTGAGCTGCAAGCGTCCCAGGAGTGGTGCCGTCATGAGTTGTGGCATCGCGGGCGGCGCCAAACGCCACCAACAATCGTACAACTTCCAGGTGACCGCTTAAAGCAGCCGAGTGCACAGAAGTCCAGCCACCGACTGCTGCATGATTACATGTCGCTCCAGCCTGCAGCAGCGAGCGCACCACTTCCAGGTGACCATTCTGAGCCGCATAATGCAAAGCAAGTGCACCCTGAGAAGTGGCTTGTTTGCAAGACGCCCCAGCCTGCAGCAACAATCGTACCAGTTCAAGGTGGCCGTGTTCAGCTGCCACGTGCAAAAGTGTGTAACCCCGTGCATCTGCAGTGTTGGAAGAGGCCCCAGCCTCCAGCAACAAGCGTACCACTTCCAAGTGGCCACGGGAAGCAGCACCGTGCAAAAGAAATGATGTGGCTCTGTCATAAGAGGCCCCAGCCTCCAGCAATATGCGTACCACTTCCACGTGGCCATTTTGCGCTGCCTCATACAAGGCTGTAAAGCTCTCTACAATTACATGTTTAGTGTTGGGGTCCTGTGGCTGGTGCAACCTCCTTTCAACTTCTTGAAGGTCACCCTCCTGACAAGCGTCAAGAAATTCCTCATCTCGAACTCGGTCTGCTGGTAGGAATGCCAGCTTGACCATCTTCAGCACCAGTGGCGGAACAATCACCACATCGTCACCAACCTCCAGATGTTCTTCTGCTTGCAAGAGCCGCAGTCGAAACCTTGATCCAAATCCTCGAGACATAAGTTCCAGTTTCAGTGCTTTGATGGTGTTGCCCCGTTCTTCCACCAGAGCTTGCAACTCCTCGTCGTTGAAGACCACGGCATCTTCACCGGATGCTGCCCAAAGCACGCGCAGCGCCATCTACACAATCTCTGCGGCAATGGATATGCGTGTGACGGCGTGTGACAACTTCGAAATGGTGGAGACCTGGAATACGTCTCCTTCACCTCTCGTGACTTCACTGAAGCTATCCTGATCTTCTCTTCGTGGCTTTGTCGTGTATTTTGTCGTCAAATGACACTTGGGTACTTAGAGCTTGGAATGCCCTGAGCCATGCAGCACGAGCAAGAAGCTGAGGGCGATCCCCCCAAAAAGGATTACCCTCCTCTAAAGAAATATGTTCATTTGATCAGTCACCAAGGAAAATGTGTTGGGTCAACCAAAAAATGTCGTGACGAAATGTCCTCCACAGCCACGACAGCCCGGGCTTCCAGCCAACGAGACCACCAGTTGATCCACCGGACAACCTCGCCGCCTCGCCGATTTCGGTGCAAAGCGACGAGGACTCGGCAGTGGTTCGCCCCCGGAGTCACTTCGGGAACCCCCAACGAGGAGGGCCTAGAAGGTGCCCCACCCGACCACCAGCACCCAGCACCAGACCCGACCACAGACACTCACGGGTTCGCCCCCGAAACTCCGACACCGGCGCCGACCGTAGCGCCGTGAGGAGCACCGGTCGCCATCCCACGGATGGCGCCAGAACATCGGCGGAAGTGGTCGATGCGGTTGTTCTCGATGTGTTGTTCTTCTCAGATGTTCATTGTTGTTCTATATGTTTTGTCATCGTCCTATCGAAACCAGAACCGGAAGATCTAAGGTAGGGGAGTGGGCTGAATTCAAGTGTTCAGAAGGAAGGAAGCTCTCTGTTCTCCCAAGTTGGTGGGCCTACATGTTAAACAAATGTTTTCTTGAGGCTGATGCAAAATTACCATATCGGAGTCGAAGTAAAAACTCTACTGTGTGTTATTGTAAGAAGAATACCTGGGATATGTGGCTGGAGCCCAAAGGAAGCATGTTCTGCGGCTGCAACACACACAATGTGCACCCTCTGTAAAAAGCCATTGTCAATGGTTGGTGAACTAGATCCTCCAGACACTGTGGAGAATGCATCCATGCTTTTATGTTCCTGGCATCCTCGGTGGTTGGAAGTTGTCCATGAACAGCTCAAGATTCAATTATGTATTATTAATATCATATCTAAGCATTCATAGATTTTTAGCTTCAATGGGCATCTTCTGAATATTGCCTCAAGACCAAAAACCGCCATGTCAAGACCAAACATCGTCTTCCAAACTCACGCCGTGGGTCTTCCGAAGGAGTTCTTCAGTTGGAAAGATTATATGTAGTAGCAAATCCAGACTTGACCGATACAGATTCAGGAATGGCTGTCAGCCTTTTTGAGGCGTCGCAGAATTACATGGAAAGCTGGCCATCCACTTCAATCACCCACATTCTCACGGTGTAACATTCAGTGTTTTGGCCCCGAAACACCCCGAACATAGCAGATCACGGATCACCACCTCGCACCACGACCCACCCGTTGGAGGCTCCACCCGAAAAGCGCTCGGCGACCCGCTGGACGGTGCACTGCGTTTTCGGCTTCGCTGGGCTCGACGCGACCGGCTCCGGGACGGTTCGTCGCCCTGGCAGGGCGTGGCGCGTGGGGGACCGTCGCGAGCGGGCGTGAGGCGAGCGGACGTGAGGGAGCGGAAGCGTTGGGACCGGATTGCAAGAACTGGGTGGTATACCCTGTGTTGCCAGAGGAAGTAGAAAACAACAAAAACATCCACACTCACTCGCGAAGTGCCTGTCTGACGGTTCGCCCCACGGCCTAATGGCCAAGACATGCTAAAACAGCATGACTTCATGAGAAGATGTTGAAGCTCTCCGAAAGTGCCATCAGATTGCATGGGGAAAAAGATGGGCATCCTCCTGGGGATGTTCAAGGACCCCAGTCTCCCTGCGGTAGTTCAGTTGGTCGAACTTTGTAATCTTTGTAGTGGAAATAGCACGACGTTGTTGATGTTGAGGTCATTATGAAACAAGTTCCATCATCGCTCCAAAGTCTGTATGTTTGTTAGACGGTTGGATTGCGACGCATGCACAACCTTCTCCCTGCTAAGCACACTCCAACCACGTGGTCAAAGGAATTTCCATGTCTTGTTTGCTTCATTTACAGTAGCTCCCAACCTCCCAACGTGGCGTCACCACACCAGGCCGGCACCGGGCCGGCCTCAACGGCCTTCAACCCTATCTCAAGAGTAGGAAATACCGTGCGTGTGTTCTGTGCCCAGAAAAGAGCTGGTCTTCTACATCAACAATAGCCAAAATCAGTCTCCAAAACAATCCCCCGCACATGGAAGCGTACAAAAAGCTGCTTCCCGCCTCCTGCCGTTTTGTGGCCAAAATCTGCCCGAAGAGGGCGAGGAATAAGTCTCCTACGTCACTCGCAATCACCAAAATGGCGAGATGAACACCACCGGTTGCACTACCAACTGCAGCCCTGAGGGACCTTTGTACGAACCTCCATGAACGGATGTCACGGCGGATGTGCTGATGTATCTCAGAGATCTCCAAGAATCTCACGAAATTCTGCGGAACCTTCCTTGATTTGCTAGTGGATTCCAATAATGTGAAAAAGAATTGGAGGTTCAAAGGAAAAGGGAAGGGTTCAGTTCATTCTATTATCCGTGCTATCCAAAAACTTGTAAACAAACTCGACGACCCTCCAAATCACCCTGAAGAACAAGCCCCACAATTGGTTCAGGACGTGAAAGTTCCTAAATCCAGTGTAGCTGGCGCAACATGACCGGTACTCGTCGCATTTGTCCTCAAAACACTCCGTGGGCATTCTCATTGAATGGTTGGGCATGACCTTCAATGTGAGGCATATTAAGAAACATCGAAGGATTCACACAAAATGTCAGGTCTGCTTCATACAGCAGGATCAGGGCAGGCTTCAACTCTCCATAAGTTCCAAAAGGATTGGCGTGCAAAACAGGAGTTCCCAATTTCACTAGCCCTGGAACACTCATGCCACTCCACCTGGTGATATTCATGCTGAGTCGTCATATTGGGGCCTGGTTACCAACCAGTTGTATTGCTCATGGATGGGTTTTTTCTCCCAGCCATCGCCAAGCTATCTCTAGCTGTACAAGACCTTGTGAAGTGTTCCATCAAACATCTAAGCTGGAATGCAATGCATTCTTGCATTGACGGGACTGGGGATCCTGTCTCTGGTTTCTACACAACCAAGAAAAAGACAGTTAGTTCTCTCCCGGATCTGTGAGCTGTTTCAAGCACCTCGTCTGAGCACAAGTCAGTCAGCCACATGTTCTCTCCTCAGCATCTTGGCTGCATTCTGCAGGAAAAGGACCACATCCTGAAACCCCTCCTTAGCTGCAAGCTCCGCAGGAGTTTCTCCCTCATGAGTTGTGGCGTCACAGGCAGAGCCAATCTCCACCAACAAACGGACGACTTCCAGGTGACCGTCCCAAGCAGCGAAGTGCAACGCAGTCCAGCCACCAACAGTGGCATGATCATACGCCGCTCCAGCTTTCAGCAACACGTGGACCACTTCCAGGTGACCATTCTGTGCCGCACAATGCAAAGCAGTTGTTCCCTGGGAAGTGGCTTGATTGCAAGAGGTCCCAGCCTCCAGCAACAAGTGCACCAGTTCCATGTGACCGTTCAAAGCAGCCAAATGAAACGGAGTTTCACGGGTCTCATCGGCACCATCACCTCTAGCCGCCAGCAGTAAGCGCACCACTGCCTGGTGGCCTCGGAGCCACAAGCGGACAATCTCCAGATACCCAGCAGCAGCAGCACTAAGCAAGGGAAACTCACTGTTATCTGTCGTGGCTTGATCACAAGAGGCCCCTGCCTCCAGCAATGTGCGAACCACTTCCAAGTGGCCATTGTCAGCTGCCCAGCACAAAGCTGTGCGGCCGTGTGCATCTGCAGCGTTGGAAGAGGCCCCAGCCTGCAGCAACAAGCTCACCACTTCCAAGTGGCCCATCTCCGCAGCCCAGTGCAGAGGAGTTATACGTATACCTTCATCTGAATCACAAGAGGCCCCAGCTTCCAACAATATGCGCACCACGTCCAAGTGGCCATTGCTTGCTGCCACATGCAAAGCTGCATATTTCTCCAATGCTGCAGCGTCTGCAGTGTTGGGGTCCTGAGGCTGATGCAGCCTCCTTTCAACTTCTTCTAGGTGTCCTTCCGCACAAGCCTCAAGAAATTCCTCATCTCGTTCTTCGTCTGCTGGTAGGAATGCCAGCCTGACCATCTTCAGCACCAGTGGCGGGACAATCACCACATCGTCACTAAGCTCCAGATGTTCTCCCGCGCGCAAGAGCCGCAGTCGAAACCTTGATCCAAATCCTCGGGACATAAGTTCCAGCTTCAGTGCTTTGATGGTGTTGCCCCGTTCTTGCACCAAAGCTTGGAACTCCTCGTCGCTGAAGACCACTGCATTTTCACCGGATGCTGCCCAAAGTAAACGCAGCGCCATCTATGTGGCAGCTCCATTAATGGAACTGGGCACACACTTGTGATGCAATCAAACATGTGGATTCCCTTTCACTATCTTCCACCCTCTAATTATGTCAATTCTACTTAATTATGGGCCATGGGTGGTTGGTAGTTGGTCGCCTAGAGTGCTTTTAGTGCCCAGTCTCTGCGGAGCGAACGTCATGCGACATGATCGAGCTGAAGAAGCATTACTCATATAATCATCAAAGTGAAACTCACCATCTGTTTAGTGTTCGAAGAAATGGTCATCCGATATCGGGGCAATGCCATCTATGTAGCCAGGATGATGAGGCCCGGGAGTGTCTTGTGTGCATGTTCGTCTCTACTTGTTTCTGAAGCTCTGCTTCGAGCAGCGATCAACAAGAACAAAGGTGAGAACAAAAACACGCCCTTCAATCAACCAGAACAAGAGCAATTTACTTGCTGCAAAAGAGATCTGAAGGGTTCTCAGAACCATTTCATCGAAACTCGATGGAAGGTACCACGAAAACCACTTAAGAACCCCCGCAAAGAAAGGTCCAGTACCCACCACCATCTCGAAGTAAAGCATGGACCTATCCAATATTCTTATCCATCTTCGAAACACTAAACTCACCACTTCACCTACTCATGTTGGGTGACCGTTTGACCCACATGCATCTTCAGAAAAATGAACGAAAAAAACACCTCCTCAGCCGAATCAGCTCTGCTCAAAAACACCTCCCACACTCTTCTTCTCTGGAAAGTACTAAGAGACTTCCCATCCTCCCTTTGACCGTCGATCACCCAGCGAATTCCATCGTCGATCGCCCACGATCTCCTCGTCGTTTTCCCCCCGGGACGCCGGCGCCAACTGACTCAGTCGGTTTTGGAGAACTCAGTCGGCGAGTTCTCCCACATGTGGGAGTTTTCGGTGAGGTGATGATGGTTCTGTTCTACAGGAACGGTCTTTAGACCCATCGAATTAGGGGCTTGTAAAAACAAACCGAAGGTGACTCCTTTGACTTGCACCAAACCTGAAGGCAAAGGAGTCACCGGGATTGAAATATTAGTATGGAAATCTGACATCAGCACGACCTGCTCGTAATTAAACAATTTACCCAGCACCCCAAGTTAGGAGTCTCGATGTGAGTGTCTACTAGGGTGTTTGTAGGTCTCATTGCCGAGCACATATATGCAATAGCGGAGTCAAAAGCAAAAAGCTCAGCTCTGTGCGTGTGATGGTACTAAGAAGATTAAGTGGATGTGCGGCTGGAGCCAAGAAGGAAGCATCTTCCGCGGCTGGAACACACACAATCTGAACCTCTCATGCTATTGTTGATGACTGGTGAACTAGATTACCTAGATCTTACCTAGATCTTCCAGACGGTTGATGGAAGACACAAAGGAATGACTCCATGAAGCACACAACTTACTTAATCCAGAAAATCACTTGGGAGAGCCGTTGGGATGTCTCAAAAACAAACCCAAAACCAGAAGTTTTACCACAGGACGGAATCTACACGCCCTTGCGATTCACAGGGCTCGAGAAAATCGAAAAGATGCAAACCCGAAGCCAGGCCCGCTTGAACATTGAGATTTGGGGTGAGTTGCGAGTTTGCAAAGTTCCATTGCTGAAGAAGAACTTGATGACTTTTGTCCATCCACTGTGCATCCTTCAAACGCTGTGCCATGGACAATGGACAGTGCACCGCTGTGCCAAAGGAAAAAATTTGGTTCTAAGCCTCCACATCTTCACATGAGTCTGTGGGAAGAGAGTTTTTGGATGGCCCAAGTTTAACAAAATCTCCCACTTGCACTCGCAAAGACCACGGGAATCAGTCTGAACAACGAACCCCCGAAGTTTACCAGAGATTTTCCATCCTCTCAACAATTCTCCGTTGTACCTGTCGTCTGGAAACCAGGTGCCTTCGCCTTTCCAGTGCCATTGAGAAGGTGGAGCGAGGAGGTGAGCAGGGCACACACCCAAAGAAGCGAAAGTCAGCGACGAAGCGACGTCTTTTTTTGGGGGGCTCACGAAGTGACGAGACCATCACCGAAGTGACGTACGTCCAGACACTCGCAGGTCGCAGGTGTCTGGTGCCACACCACACCGGTGCGCTGCTACGGCGCATCCGAACTCCACGGCTTCGTCGCGGTGCGTGGACCAGCATCGGAGCCGCGACCAGGTGCGTTTGGAGCAGAGAGATGTAGAACCACCCCGCCCTCCCACAGGCCCACAGGTGCCTCAACCTCCTTTTTTGCCGGCGCACACAGCACCCAGCACCTGCTCATCGGCTCTTCAGATAAGCCACAAAGGCACGAACTTGCCTCAGGCACGGGCAGAACCGTCAGGAACCGGTCCCTCTGTTTGGTGTAAAGCTTCGGATGCCTGGCTTTCCCATTCTCGCAGTGTCCCTCTGTTTGGTGTCAAGCTCTTGGACGCCCAACAGACTCTCCAAGAATTGATCGTTTGAAGGACTCACACAGGAAATCACAAAAAGCAGGGCTTCCGGTGAGCTTTTCGCCCGTGTCCTGTCAATCGCCGAACTTACGCTTTTGACACGGATCGACAGACTATATAGGTGGCGTGTGCCTCCCTGCTAACGGGCCGAGAACGGCAAATGGCTGGGTTGCTCGAGCCTGGTCGCTGGAGAACATGTGAGCCTGGTCGCCTTCCGTTCAACCGGCTGAAAAACAAGCTTGAGCTGGTCGTGTAGTCTAAAATCCTTCGTAAAACAACATCTTCGGTAAACCCTATTAAATCATCAGTGGTCTCAATCTTTTGGATAAGACTAATTATATGTAGTTGCCAACTCTCCAGCCATGCGTGCACAGAAAGTGGCCCGAAATGGCCCACTGGATCTTACCCACTTCCATGTGCATGTGAGTGGGTTAGAGGGTCAACTCCCATCCATGCCCCCCGAAAAGAACCAGCGGAAAGAGAGGAAACGCATCGCGTTTCCAAGAAACGTCTGACTCCGTTGGGACCGAAGCCCTTAGGAATTAGCAGAGGGTGATAATCCAAATAGCATATTCTAATAGTGTTTGACTGTTGATGAATATATCATCCCCACAGATGAAAGTGATGTAAATCCATTCTGGAGGGTGTATTTGATCATCAACAGTGGAAAAACCATCCCTGTTTTCTGCCTCCAAACTTGCCCAAGCACCGGTCCAAAGGCGCGTCGCCGCTGAAGCTGCCTTCCGCGAGCTTCCGCTCCACCTGGAAAGGCTGGCAGGAGCGCTTCGAGGAGCGCCTCCAGAAGGGTAACATCCACGAGTTCCCAAGGGTAGATGGGTTAGGGGTGCCCACATGAGCCACTCTTCACCTTCGGAACTGCCGACGAAGCAAAATCCCTTCGGAACTGCTGATGGTTGGGGCGGTGTCCGGTGACATGGAACGGCTGCTGGAGGATTGAATCATGGGTTGGGGAAACTGAAATCCATCGAATGATGCCCACACCGATAGATGAGATGCTAGTGAATTCTCTCTACAACTGGAGGGCATTGGGCATGCTTCCTGAGCAAGACAAACAAAACCAGTGCAGGCTCTCAGTTGGATGGTGACAGTGGTCATTCACCATAAACCACTGGGAGCGATCCTCTGTGCGAATCCAAATTTCCTTCCGGGCGACTGCGCACGCGCTACACCGTTTCAGCAAGATGCTGGAAATCGTTGAACGGGTTGGTCCGATGTCCGTCATTCCCCCCGCAGTGTGTTTGGGCGCAGAAAACGTTTTTGTTTCAACTCCGACCGATGGGACAGGAGACACATGGAGACACGGGCGTCAGCTTTTTGCAGCCGGAACTCCATGGAGGTTGGATGTTTCCGGAGCTTGGGCATCCAAGGTTGTTCGGACCAACCCTTTTAGGTCTCTTAATTTGTGTCCTTTCGTGGTGTTTTTGCGTTCAAACCACGTACAAGCAGACCGCCCCAAAAAGAGTACAGCAGCCATACTCCCCAAAAGCCTTGACGGGGTCATGAACCAGCAGAGTCAATATGGGAAAGGATCCTTTCCAGGCCAGATCCACCGGAGATCACCAACCAATATAAGAAGACTGGTCTATTTTCCAAACCTTCCACGGGGTCGAACTGGGAGCTCTCCCATGTCTTGAGCTACACACCCACCTGTTATCACCTGAGATGTCACGTGGAGCATTGGAGCATCGGAGCATCCAACTCCAACCCCCGTCACATCGATGCCCACAGTCCCGCAGAAAACAGGATCCGCGCACCATCCGGCAGTAGTCCACATCGTTCTCAGCCACATCGCTGAAGCTGCGGCCCTTGTGCTTGCCCAGTTTGAAGGTCTGTGGCTCAGTCCTCAGTGCATCCGACCGTCGGCTCTTGGATCATCCGGAGGTCCATGTCGTCTCTGCAGTCTCAAATGGTCGGACGAATGGTCGGACTCTTGATTCATAAACCCCTCCATTTTGAACCTCTTCATGTTGGGGTGGCTGATTGATCAAGAGTCTACTGGTCTGACTCACCGAGTTCGGTCACCCAGATCAGTTGCCGGGGTCCTTGGCTCCTTCACAAGATCTTTCTCGGCCCAAGATTATATAGTCACTAGTCGCTTCCTGGATCGGAAACCGGGTGAAACGAGTCCCATCCCATTTGTCCGGGGGTCTCCTAAACCATCCATCCGTCCGTCCGTCCGTCCATCCGTTCTGTGTGATTTGAGATGCACGGTGAACCTACGGGTGAAACGTTTCAGTGCCGGGAGAAACGCCTGGCAAAAGTATCTCCAAAATTCATGCAAATTCCCCAAGTGGTTTCTCGGGGGCCCCAAAGAAGAAGACACGTCATGTCGGCAAGAGCTTGCACATGGTTGCGCTGCTGGACTTCGTTTCGGGCTCAGAGGCTTGGCAGCCGAAACAAAGGGGGATTCGACTGCTGTGAATCCAGATGGGCCTCTGAAGCTTCTGGACGAAGCTTCTGGATCCTGGAAGTCCGTTCGACCATTCTTGACGTGGTTGATCTGGTTTTGTACTGAAATACTCCTTATAGCCTTATAGTAAACCAATGGTTGTTCAGTATATTACGTCAATGGTGGTTGGAATCCTAGGTGATTTCTGAAAACTGCTCGCAGTCTCCAGGGACCATTGGCTCCAAGCTCCTAGCCTTGTGAAGCGCTATAGGTCGGACTCCCGTGAAGCGCTGGGGTCCGTGGAGGTCCAATGCCGTCGGCTTCGTCTCTTCGTCCATTCTTCTCCTGCCTACCCGACCCATAGACGCCCCGCCCAAACCGCCCGAAACCATGTGTTGCCACAAGCTCCAACCAACCAACCAACCAACCAACCAACCAACCAACCAAGCAAGCAAGCAAGCAAGCAAGCAAGCTCTTTTGTCTCACCCAAGCACAGCGTCACCCACCCAGTGTCACCCTTCTTTGGTAGCTCAAACAGCAGGCCCTCTCCGGGGACAGCACCCAGCTTCCATCCACCTCGGTCCAACTTCACCCACTTCAGCTTTCCACCTAGTTCACCCCTCAGGGGAGAAGGAGAAAAAAAGACACGGGAAAAACCGAACACTTCGTGTTCACCCACCAAACACCCCGTGGCTCCACCAACCTCGATCTCCCACCCCCTCTTCCACCTCCAGATCCCTCCGCCTCCGTTCCTTCCGCATCCCTCGTTCCGTCGTCGTTCTCCAGGCATCGGATCCGTCGCAGGCAGCTCTCCTTGACTCCGCCGCTCCCTGCGAAGACGAAGAGCGAACGCGAAGAAGCGACCGCTCCGGTCTTACGGTTGTGGCTTTTTTGGGCGCACCTGCTCCACCGCGGTCTGTGATTAGCCGGGGTCCTGGTAGAAAGCTAAGGGATTGGTGGGAGAAGAAGATCCCAAGACCTCAGGCCGATTTCCAGGACACGAGTTGGTCATAGACCCTGACGATCGGTGTGGGCTACGTGTCAATCCTCTGGAGGACACAACCCGCGGAGCTTGATGAGGGGGGGCAGGAGCTGGGAATGGATCGATCAATGTCAAGACAGAAACACCCACAAACAACACAGCTTGGACCATGTCTGCTCCACCTTCTTCATAGCACATACATGCACATACTAGTTTGTATGTGAAGGGTTAGGATTGATCAGAGCTCTGGGCTGTCATGGTACCTACACCCATTTTTCTTCTCTTTGTAGCAGCATTGTGCAGCAAACCCACAACTTCCCGAAAGCTGCAAGCTTCGAAGAAGCATTAGCTGTGGACTCTTGCTGGCCCGCGGCAAACTCATCTCAACACAATGGCGCATGAATCAAAAAAAACACCACATATTGAAAGCCCTGCTCAGCTGCAAGCTGCGTGGGAGTGGTGCCGTCATAAGTTGTGGCATCGCAGGCAGCACCAAACTTCACCAACGCGCAATGCAAAGCAGTTGCATCCTGGAAAGTGAGATCACAAGAGGCTGGTGCCTTTGTCAGTTGTGGCGTCGCAGGCAGCGCCAGACTGCTCCAGCAAACGGACGACCTCCAGGTGAGCCCAAAAGACCGTGACCCCCGAGACAGCGGGGCCTCGAAACTGGCATGGCCCTGTTGACGGCGTTCAGCGGTCGATACGCTCGGATCCAGCCATTAGAGCATCGCGAGCATTCAAATTCCAGAATTGTAGATGTCTGAACTTCCATGTGCTTGGCACTCAGGTACTTGCGTAGGGTAGGACTCTATTTAGTCTGGCTCCATATCGGACTGAGCTGCACTGTTTCACGATCAAACTATTCAATTCATGATGGATTTGTTTAGGAAGCACCTATATTGCAGCAAACTGCAGCGGATGAACACAGCGGACACAAGCAAGGTCAAAAAGCCGCAAGTCAGCTGCTGAGCCCTGGAAATTTGGCAAACATCACTACAGATTCCCTGCACAGTGTGAGAAATCTGACTTCATTTGTGTTGGTCGGCCGAGCAGCAAAGTGCAGAGAAGTCCAGCCACTGACTGTTGCATGACCACATGCCGCTCCAGCTTTCAGCAACAAGCGCACCACTTCCAGGTGACCCTTTTCAGCAGCATGATGCAAACAAGTTTGACCATGAACTTCAGGTTCCAACCGTGGTGCCTTGGCAGGTCCAGGTTCCTCAGAAGCTGAGGAAGGGGCATAGCCAGCAAAACTGCTATCATCATTGGCTTTCAGGAATGGTCAATGATCTCTTGAGGCCAAAAGGCCCCAGCCTGAAGTAGCAAGCGCACCACTGCCTGGTCACCGTTCTGAGCCGCGCGGTGCAAAGGAGTTGCACCCTCGGCAGTGGCTTGATTGCAAGAGGCTCGAGCCTGCAGCAACAAACGCACCACCTCCAGGTGACAGGCAGCAGCAGCACTAAACAAGGGAAACTCACTGTTATCTGTCGTGGCTTGATCACAAGAGCCTCCAGCCTCCAGCAATGTGCGAACCACTTCCAGGTGGCCATTGTCAGCTGCCCAGCACAAAGCTATGCGGCCCTCTGCATCTGCAGTGTTGGAAGAGGCCCCAGCCTGCAGCAACAAGCGCACCACTTCCAACTGGCCCCACCTAACAGCACAGTGCAGAGGAGCTATACCTTTATCTGGTGTGGCTCTATTACAAGAGGCTCCAGCCTCTAGCAACATGAGTCACATCCAGGTCGCCATTCTCAGCTGCACAATGCAAACCTGTGCGGGTCTTGAAGCTCCTCTAGCCATTCTTCAACTTCTTCAAGGTGTCCTAACTCACACGCGTCAACGAATTGCTCATCTCGGTCTCGGTCTGGTGGTAGCAAGGCCAGCTTGACCATCTTCAGCACCAGTGGCGGGACAATCACCACATCGTCACCAATCTCCAGATGTTCTTGTGCTTGCAAGAGCCGCAGTCGAAACCTTGATCCAAAACCTCGCGACACAAGTTCCAGCTTCAGTGCCATGATGGTGTTGCCCCGTTCTTGCACCAGAGCTTGGAACTTCTCGTCGCTAAAGACCGCTGCATCTTCACCGGATGCCGCCCAGAGCAGCCGCAAGCTCGTGATGTACCCCAAAGTTCTGTTTTGCATTGATTTCCATGAACAACATGATCTGCGGATGTATTGATTCTCTCCTTCCCCTGTCTATCTCGGCTTGGCATTCGGCCATGGACCAGGGGCGTTGCTGTGGAACTCAAAGCGGATCAAAGGGGGTGTCAATTGACCATTCTCATATGCAACATGTAGCACAAAGTTCAGTGGTTTTCACTTGTTGTGGGCCAGTCTGCATGCCGGAGCATGTGCCATTCACACTGGCGCCCGTTTCTCCCGGCGCGCGCCCGTTTCACCGGGGCTCTTCAGATCAAGCAAGTGTGGTCTCTGGGCGAGGAGAGGTGGTTCCTCGCAGCCCCAGCGGGTCCCCGGTGTATTCTCGCCCTCCAGGTCTACTTAGTTTGAGACACGGATGTTCCATACGGAGGAAACAGGGAGAGTGAGTTCGTGGAGTTCGTGGAAAGGTTGAGTTATATAACTATCCACACCGGAGTCTTGCTGCGAATGGCACAACTCCCATGTGAGTACCTCTATAGGAACAATCCCTAGTCACACTCCAACATAGTGAACCCGCCACACACCTATTTCTCCGCAGACCAAAAGCACGAAGTTGGTCGTCAATTGAAAGGGTCCTTTGCGTTCTCGGCCGAAATGGAGAAACCCCTCCAATCTATTATGTTGCATCCTCAAATTGGATGGTTCCCTCAATAGAAAAAACTCCACCCCTCCAAACTCCAAAGTGATCCATCCATCACCTCCAGGACTCCTCACCTCGCATAGTTGGCCAGCTCCCCAGGCATGGACTCCCGTACTTCTTCCAAGCGATAGACCTCCAAGAGCAACGCCCTGGCCGCAGAGCGTGAGGCGGACGCTGCGTGGAATCTGAATGCAGAGAGGGGAGAGAGAGGCACAATCATAGCAGATTGACCAACCCGGACTGCGCATCTTGATTCAAAAGTGCCCCACCCGTCCAGGCCTCAAAAAAAGTGCCCAACTGCGGTTCCCTATTGGTCTGCGGGAGTTGAAATATAATCCAGCAGTCACAAAGGAATGGTTTTTAGTCCCTAAGTGAGTGGATAATGGGCACCCCTACCCTTCAATAGGCACCCCTTTGTGACTGCTGGATCAAGCATTCTACATTCGATTGAGAGAGAAAACTTGCTGGGCTTTTTCTGGCGAAGTGTCCATCCTTGGTGCGGGATCCAACCAGCCAGAAGGAGAGGCGAAGTCACCACAGGCTGTGCTTTTAGTTTCTCTGAAGCCGACCCTTGCAATCCATCAATGGTTTGAAGGCTCGGGACTACTTGCACCGAATTCCGTTCTCCCTCATGATCATCGAAGCCTTCCAGCTCCAAAAGAAAACACGCCGAGTTTGGCGCAAGAGTGGTTTCCGTCCTCAGAATCCATCGGTTCGGATCATCTTTCAGTTCAATCGTTTCGGATCACAAACCAGAAAAACTTGTAAGAAAAGTGTCCTTCTCCTTCCATCATCATCATTTCTCCCTAGACTCTAGTAGCTTGGAGGCCATCGCTAGTAGGTTGAAGGCCATCGCTACTGTTTTCTCTCTCTCTCTCTCTCTCTCTTCATGAAGGTCCTTGACGGCCCTGGAGCTGCACAGAGGAGACCAAGAAGAAACCGGACACCCCCGACCAAAGAACAGCATCATCTATGACGGCCAGGTCGTTGGATTCTCCGGCCCGTAGTTCCCCACGCAAGACAACCAAAGGTAGAAAGTTATACCACGGGTCCCAAAGGGGTGGTGTTTGGTCCCTAAGTGAGTGGATAATGGGCCCCCTAACCTCAATACCTGAAAACGACCCTCTTTCTTCGGGTGTCACTTCTGGCCAAATCAATCCCAAAAAGCTCAGATCGGTCAGTCACACAGTCCAAAAGATCTCCGGTCAGTCAACCAGTCAACCAGTCATTAAAGTCACCAACTTAACCATGACACTTTGACAGGGATGACCCATCACCCCACCTCTCAAACATTCCCAGCAGGACATGGCAATTCCGAAGAGGCTGCGGTTCGTCTCATGTTCCATGGGAGGTTCCGAAGAAAAACAAAACGATCACGACATCACCTCTGTGGATACTGCTGGTGTTCTGCACATCATGATCCGGGAGGCGTCACTCACCTGAATCTAGAAAGCGTTCGAAACCGTGCCCTGAAACAGGACGCAACCAGAATCTGTGTGAGATGCAAACTGCACATTTGAAGGGAACCCACTGGAAGTTTACAGCTCTTTCCAAAGCAAGACATCGGCGCCTGCTGCCCTGTTCCAGCTCCTCCTCAATGGCTTCTATGAGTTCCTCTTGCTGCGCCGGCGCCAGCCAGCAATGCTCACGAAGCAGTGCCTGCTGCCTGGGCGGCTTTCGCTCCCACATAGCACGATCTGCCCCACCAGCCGGAACAAATCAAAATGATCCCTTTCGTGTCGGCACCATCTTAGGTGGCAGGGGAAAGGAGGAGGGAGAGACTAGCGTCTCACGTGCCAGTGAACCAAAGGCCCAGGTTTTGGATGGAAGAAAATGACCTGGCGCCCCAGTAGAGGATGAAGCCAATTGAAAAAACACCTGTCCTCCCCAACCTCAAACAGGCTCAGTAGTTGACGTAGGAAGTCTGCATATGCTCACCATGACCTCCACAGAGCAGCACATAAAAATTCACAAGCGTGGATTCTCTAAGAAGCTCACCCTGAGAGTTCACCTCGAAAAGCGAATCCCGACATCTCATCCGACCATCTCAAATCCGACTCTCCGACTACGACGTTTTCGCGAGGACTGCCGGTGTCTTTTCAGCCTCGCCAAGCGGTTTGTTCGCACAGGGTCTTCTTTTCGAAAAAAAGCGCGCGAGGCATGGCTGAACCGGCGCCGGTGTGATGTTCCATGATATTCCGTGCGGTTCCCTTTTCAAACATGTGTGGGAAGCCGTAGAGAATCCATTCGAAGACCATGCGTGTAACGTTGGAGGCCACTAGGTAGCCAAAAAAGAGCTGCACCAAAACAAGAAGATCGGCCTCTTTGAAATGCCAACCCGCACTCACCCTCAAATCTTGTCTCCGAAGCTCAGAACCCCCACCTCTCTTTCTCCAGGATCTCCTTCTGCACAACCTCTTCAAAGACTTTCAGCTCTTTCCCCAACTCGTCCAGCTCGATTCGTTCGCTCTCCACCCGTTCCACCAGCCCACCCAACAGCCCGCGCAAGGCGCGCGCCGGCGAGGCCGCCGGGCGCGGCGCGCCGCGCGCCAGGCGCCCGCGGAGCCAGTGCTGGAAGGGCTGCATGAGATCCAAGGTGCTCCAAAGGACCTCAGCGTCTAAGAGAAGATGATGCACATCATGTGAAAGTCATGTGTGCACGCTATGGGTACGTGCAATGGTATTGTTCTGTTTTTGGTTGGTTTCTAACATACATCAGGTAAAAGAAAGAGAGAAGAGCGTGTTTGGTAGATGTGTCTGCCATGTAAACTACTGGACCCAGGACCTCAGGGATCCAAATTTGGATGAATGGCAGCGAGATCCAGATGATGAACATCTAGAAGAGCCCCATGTGCCAAAACAACACCGGAGGCGCGGGCAAACAATCAGGGACAAACATGATGGACAAAGACTGACAAGCAAGAACTCGGGAGTTCTAGAGAAGCCAATGGAAGAATGGATTTCAGTTGATTTTTGTAGCCTTGAGGTCGCTTTCATTGTGCCATCGCACAGTACATCGGAAGGTCAGACTGAAGCCCTGAAGCACCTTCTTCAGATCCCGCTGGAACCCGGTCATACCCGACCCTTCGCCCAAGCGGCATGTGCCAGAAGGGCACAATCGCAGAGTTCCACCTGCACCGAAAACAAATCCATGTTGACCTTCAAAGGATCCTCAAACCCGCGCTACAAACCCACGTTCAATGGACCAGAAGGGCACTATAGTTGCCAGGAGGGGTGTTCAAAAGACCACAGAAAGTGTCGAAAAAAGAACCAAAAAAAACAAACAAACCACCCCCTCCAAGTCGAACCAGTCCTTTTCTTCCACTCTTCGCATCCGCTGTTGGAACGATCGCCGACCGCCTCACGCCGTCCGCAGGTCCACGCGACCAGCTGCAGCATCCGCGCCGCTTGCCCCAGGCGTCGGTCGGAGACCACCTCGGACGGACGGAACCCACCGACCGACGTCGGGACACGGTCGACACGGTCCGCCGGGCCGAGCGCTTTTCACCGGTCTCCCGCGGTGTCCGGTCTCCCGGGGTCGACCGGAGGGAAGGTGAAGGGGTTGTGAAGGGAGGGAAGGGAAAGGGATCGAAGAGGGGGTTGTGATGGTGCCATTTCAATCGAGAATGGATTTGCACGCGTGGCGTTTTCCATCTCAAACATCCCGCACGTGGGACATCTGGAACGTGGCACGACCAGAGGAAATCTCTAGAACGAGAACGAAGCAATCAAACCAGACAGTAGCTGTATTCCGAGGGAATAGACTCTAGACCCTTGGCATCCTACTGCAGCTCTCATTGCAAATGATCGTCAGTGGGAGAATTAGGTCATACCAGCAGTCACAAAGGGATGGCTTTTAGTCCCATCCAGTGAGTGGAGTAGCTGGGCACCCCTACCCTCCAAGTTCGGCACCCCTTTGTGACTGCTGGTAGGGTCTCCATTCTTGGCGTTTCCTGGGATTTGTTGGCTCCCAAACCGCGTTAGCCCACACACCTCCTTCTTTGACGTGAGGTAGCTGCGCGCATCCTGGGAGACCGACACCGAACAGCTCTCAGATATGTTTGTAGATTCCTTGAACCCCAACGACCTATAATGTTGACGGTTGATTCATAACCCCCTCCATGCAGGGATGTTTGAATCCTATAGTTCTGAATCATTCTGAATCTCTAAAAATAAAGCTGGCTGATGAAGGGTCAACATGAACCTTTTGAGTTCTTTTGGGGCCTTCGTGCTGGTTCTCCTTCAACATCTTTGGCACGGTCGCAGCAACCAGCCATGCACGTGTGAGTCAAGCATCCGAGTGGACAACTCAAACAGCCAACACCAGCGGTTTCCTTCAGTCCTTGGGCAAGGTTTACCTAGGACCTAGCACTCCCAAAACCTGATTCAGTCCATGCACATCCACCCATCATCCTCCAAACCCTCAAGGCTTTTGTCAGCGATACCCAGTCACTCCCCATCCCTCACTTGCCCCTCCTTGAAGATCTCCACCACCTCCTCCCTCAGCGTCACCGTGGCCGCACCGCGCAACGCTTGCGCGGCATCCTCCAAGCTCAGTGGAAAAGGGGTCACCTGGCGCTGCCCGCCAAGCTCGAGTCTCGAGTCTCCACAGCGGTGTCGCGGGGGTGAGCGCGGGAGCGCAACTCGGCGACGGGAGGTCTTCACCGGTGGAGGACCGTGACGAAGTCACCAGTTCGCTTTAGGTGAACATGAGCTTCGTTGGTCAAGGTCCAGTGGTGACATTGGATGGGTCCAGATCTTTGACCTTTGTTTTGGTCAGAGGTGGTATATAGACCTTCTTGTCTTTGTGGCGAGGATCCTGGCGCCTTAGGTGGTTTTTCCTGGCGCCTTCCCGTCGATCGCCCTCCGCCTCACTGTCCGCTGCATCGGCTCGCGGCTCCACACCGGCGCGGGTCACGCGGAGGAGCTCGCCGAGCGCGGCGTCGGACACGGGGCGCACCACCAGGCGGAAGAGGAGGCGGTCGTAGAGGGCATCCAACTCCTGTGGTCGGGAGTGGTTGGACATTGAAGAAAAGGTGGTCGGAGCGGGCTATTTGAGGTTTGGAGAGTTTGGGGAGCCTTTTTTTCTTCCAGGTGATGGGATTGATTGGTTGATGCTTGCATTGTCCAGTGATGGTAATGGATGGTAATGGTATATACTTGGCTCCAACATCCCTCTTCAGGCTCTTGACCACACTCACGCCAAGTCCGGTTTGCTGCGAAGTAACAGTTATTGAACCAGCAAGCTCGGTTGTGATCGTGCGAATCGCGTCTTGGTATGTACCAAGGCGCACGGTGCTGTGTCTCGTCCCAACACAACCCCCAAAGCGCCGCTCCGCTCATATGGCTCCCGAAGGCTCCGCCCGAGTTCCACCGCGGTTCCTTTCGGCGTTCGTGCTTTCGGGTGTTTCTCGGTCCAAGAATTGCCAGGCCAAGCTCGTTGATGGTTCCAGAGTTCTTCAGCGTAAGCACGGGGAAATCCAAACCTGATTCCACAGTCAGGGTTTTCCGGTTCCATGCCCGCTTTTCAACAAGAAGCAAGAACTGGCAAGAACCCCTAAATATCACACCCTTTTTCATACGTGTCACAGTATCCAGCTGGGGAAGCAAACCTGATTTGGGGTGATTCTTCAACTTCCATCTCGCCATTCTCTCCCCATACATCTCCCCCCCCCACCCCACACATCTCCCACATCGCGCCACACATGGCCGGTGGTCTCCTCGGTTTCAGGCACCTCGTTCGAGGCACACACCAGGCATCGGAGCGGCACCCAGACACGGTCGGGGCCGTTGTCAAAGACGCGCTCGTTGACGATGGAGAGCAACGAGTTCCTCGGTGCCACGGGTGCGACGGTTCGCGGGTTCGGGTCGTTGGGCAGCGGCGGGTACGCAATGGTTTAGAGCGGCCAAAAAAAACCGCGAGACAGTCCGGGCGAGTCGCAGTTGAAACCGCTGAAGGACAGAGGTTGCTTTTGAAGTTGGACAAAAGTTGGAAATGACACCAGCAAGTGGAGATGAGAAAACAAAATACTCTACAACGTTTGGTTGTGGGCCACTGGCTCAAGACTCCTTTGTACAGACGTCAATTCCGTTGGCTCGAACACGAATACATGAAACGATTCCTTCAGAATGTGACCATACGGAAATGACTGGGAAGTCACCAGAGCTTCTGCACCCTCGGCAAGGTGGACATCTAATCTAACTTCTATAAAACCGTCCTTCATACAGTATGACCAGCGGGCATGTGTTCTTTGGATGTGTGCAACTGCTGAGATCCCAGAAGGAAGAGGCAAAAAAATGGAGAAGTGGCCATGGAAAAAGGGAATGTGTGGCCAGGTGCATCTCTCTCCTCTCAATGAACCGCTTCACCGGTGAACCTCGCCTGAACTCTCCATTCCGAGAGCCCGGCGACAGCCCGGCGATTCCCGGCGACAGCCCGGAGTTCGATCTTGACCGAAAGGGACCGGTCTCGGGGGTCGTGAGGTGAGGGAAGCATTGGCCAGCCAATGAGTCATATGAGTCATATGAGAGATGAGTCATGCATAAGTGTTTTCTGGGGGGAAACCTATCATATTGCTGAAGATGAAAGGTGCCATTGAGACGGTCTGGACGTCGAAGCTGTGAGGGGTTGCAGTCCCATGCAGTCCTTCATGGAAGGTTCATAAACCACCTGCTTGCTGTTCGGACCATCATCCTGTCGGGGCCATGCCATTCACCCCCATGATGATTTTAATTCTAATAGCTTTTTGTTACTACTAGTAAGGCACTTGTTACTACTAGCGTGGCACTTGTTACTACTAGCTTCTTGTTACTTAGACGAAATATATCTGTTTGCATCTTTTGGAAACGGACTTCAGTGATCAGACCACGCGTGACCAGGCTGTTCCATTCCGTCAAAGAACCGGGGGTCCTTTCTTAAGCGTATGCTGTCAGCAGCTCAGCCCTCCTCTTGGAGGGAAAACCTGCACAACCTTGGGGAGTTCTGCACGACCTTGGGGAGTTCTGCACGAATCTTGGGGAGTTCTGCATGAAGTTCGGGGGCTTCTGGAGTTCTTCCATGAATGCAGCACTCATCCTTCGAAGAACTCCTCTATTGTTAAGACAACGAAAATTGATCCAAGGTCCCAAGGAGTTCGGCTCGTTCAAGCGCTTGAGAGTGTCTCCCTCCGAAACACTGCTTGGTTCCCCTCGTCAGGACCTTGTAATGGGACATATATCTGCACTGGCTCAAGGGTCTCTCTGCTCGAGAGGGCAGAGTGGAGCCGTGCGCACAGCAATTCGGCGCTTAAATTCGAGCCCCAGGCCGAAGACCCTTCGTTCGTGGAAAACAGAGCTGTTACGAGTCCATTGTGATACCATAGAAACCAAGCTCCTCTCTGACACCACCCGGGACACCGGCGCCCGCGCGGACCTGTGCCGCCGGGCCAAGCGTCAGAATGGCGCTATTCGCCTTGAAGATCTCGTCCACAAAGGCGATGGACGCCTCCCAAGACGACCCACGACGGTGAACCAACGACGTGAACCCAACCGACACCGCGACGGGAGGCGGAATGGTGCGACCGGGGTGGTTGTTCCATCCACCGACCCCAAACATGAACTTCGGAGGGTTTGGGTGGCTGCGAGGATGTTTGGAGGTCTTTCAAAAAGTTCAACAAGATCCTTGGAACCCGCTGGAAGAAACCTCTTTTGAGAATGTCCGACATGTCCGTTCCGAACAGACCGCCAGGCAGTGCTGGTGGGTTTCGTGTTTCTGGCCGGTGGAAACCGCGGTGGGTGGATGGTATCCTTCATTGCTGGTCCAAGGTGAAGAACGCACCCCCAAAGATCAACAGAAGCCACTGAGACTGATGCTCATTATGTGAATGGCACCCTGTGAAACCATGCCCGGGCTTTCAGGTTCCCCGGAATTTCCAGACCGAAGACCGGTCTTGTTGCGTTTCCAGATCAGATCCATCTCCAAGGATTTCACCCACCTGTTTGGTCTTCGGATGTGGTCCGAAGGCACGAAAGGGGCGGCGACGAGCATCGCCAGCCTCGGGCAAGTAGCCCGTGGTCTGCCGTACGTACCTCAGACATGGGTTGCAGACCACCCGGACGGCAGCTTTGTGTGCCTTGAATTTCGTGGGGTGCAGAGATCCGTGTAGAATCAACATCTAGAATAAAACTTCGTGTTGAAAGCCTTTGAGGATAATATGATAATGTAGCGTCAGAATCACCGCATCTTCCCCTTCTCCACACACCCAAATGTGGGTTTTGCTGGGTGTATTGCACTTGACCTTCTCCCAAGCCCTGGTGCGTGCACCCGGGCGGCACTTCTTGGCAGAAAGTCATCCGTTTTGGGCTCTGGCAGACCGATCCAGCGAGCTTGGGCGAGAGGAACAGACGGAAACCACAAGGAGACAAGCCAAGCAAGCAAGCAGTCCGTCCCCAGCGTCCCCAGCGTCCCCATCTGCCTACAGGTCGCTGGTCGTTCTCCAGGCCCTTCAAAGACAAAGGCCCGAAAAGCTCCTCCGGCACCGAGAAGCGCGTCAGCAAGCGCTCCTCAGCCGTCGTCCCTGGTCGTCGCTGGTCCTCCTCGACCGATCCGTCGGGTGGCACGACCACGGGACTGGTCTGGCACCGACCTGAAGCGGTGGCGGGTCCTGCGTTCACCCAAAAGGCACAGCCGGCCGGAGGCCCTTTCAGGCCCAGCCTCCCCTTTCCAACTCTGCCAAAAACAAGTCCCTATTCAATCAATTGGAGACGTAACTGGAGCAGAGCCCAATGTGAACAAACCGTTTGGCTCTGCTCCGTTACCTCGGTTGCTCCGATCTCCCAGAGGGAGACGAAGGATGGGTGATCCAGCCATGCTCAGGCAACACGCACGCGTCCGTGAGTTAGGGTCGTTTGTTTCTCTTCTGCTAGGGTCATGAGTGATTTCTTGCCGCCATATGTCCATATAAATAAGACCCATTTCACACGGGCAACCATTGAAAAAACCATTGAAGCAACAATGGAAATCAACGACAAACACAAAGTCACAAAGTGCATTCACAAAGGGAGATGGCTTCAGCAAGAGACTGCCGAATCCAAAATCATCCAAGGTGGAAAAAAAAAACATGAAACCAACACAAACCCATCAGAAGACGGCTATGTAAGCATTCCTTCAACGGCCAACAAAGAGAGGATGAGACGTTGAAAGCCCGAACCGGATTTTCGGGGGATGACGCTTCGATGTTTCGCTGGCAGCGTTGCCGTCCTTGCCGTCGACTCTTCTGCACCCCTTCCGGAGCTCGTCACAAAAGAGTCGACGACTCTTTCGTCACACGTGTGGCCATCTAAGAGAGTTCACCCACATTTTGAGAAAAGCAGAATTTGGACTCCATGGGGTCGAATGCCCATGGGGTCGGAAGCGGCCTTTTTATATGCAATCGAGGGTCAAGTTATGGCTCAACACCCAATCCGACGACCTTTAGATGCAGGTGTCACCAACCATGCCTGTGAAACCTTCATTCCTTTCTGCCCCCTCCCACAGTGAAACTGCGCCACTCTTCATCCATCCCACACCGACCATGTGGTCGTCGCTTCGACTGAGCAGCGAAGAACACAGCGTCGCTCCCCACGAAGCGCACCAAGCGCCGCGCCAGCAAGCTTTTAGCCTCGGAGACGGCCGGGCGCCGGGGAGAAGTGGGACTGGCACGAACAGCCGGCGGAGCACCCCGCGCTGCAACTGACCGTTGACTCCAAAGCTTGGTGGCCAACAGTGCCTGGTTCAGGCATCACGGGTGGCCTTTCAAGGACTTGCTGCGGACGACACATGACACATGGCACCTCTAGGTGCGCTCTGTCCCGACGTCGCAGAGGATGACTTCATCCAACCATGGCCCCCAAACCACACCCAGCTCACCTGTCTCGATTAGAACTATGGCTATGGCTCTACCTACCTAGCACATCCCACCAGGGTGGATCCTGACTTCTTATTGTTGGTGCAAACAGTATAACGGATTCAAACTGCGCTTCACTTACCAGACTTGGCAGAGGGACCCTGGGTGGCAACAGCCATTTGGGCGAATTTGATGCATCATGCATGTGCACGTGTGTGGCATGTGGCATGTGGAGTCTATGCTCAAAGAACCACCCAATTCTCACCCAGGGAATCCTGGTAGAACTTCGTAGCAGCAAGGTTAGGACGGTTAGGACTCAGCGGAAGGAGTCCGACAACACCAGCTCTGCAGAAGTACTGGTGCAAAAGTAGTATAATCCCTCTGACAGAGAAAAAAGCTTTAGAAGTGATGCTGAGGGAAGAGTTCTCTAGGATAGAACCGAAGATGAAGAGTTTGCGTCACTCTTTTTGCAGGTTTGTCTACATCCAAGGTGGCTCAAGTGTCTGTCTTCCATTGAGAGTAGTCGAATCGATTGCCGCTCATTGCACATCCAGCTTACTCAAATGCTTTTAACTGCTAATTCATGGGAATTGTGAATCCAATCAAATCAGAGGTTTTGTGTATGGTTTCGTATGTTCTTTATGAATGGTCACCAGCAGCTCTTCTCGTCTTCGTTCCCCCCAACGATTGGAACCCACCACCTCACTCCCCCCACCCGTTCTCCGACCACCTCAGACTGGGCGGCGGTCCCGGGTGGCCCCAGGAGAAGCAAATGTTCACCGCCTCGGCACCGACCGGTGCAAACCGGTGCAGACCGGTGCCGACGTCCAGAGCTGGCTGGGTTGCCACGGTGGCCCTGTGGAAGGAACCAGGGTGCCGGGGCGCTCGCAGTTCTAGGCATCGGTCGCAGTTTTCAAAGATAGTTGGAAGCGATGTACCTCCAGTGACCATTGGGGTTGGTGGAGAGATGTGTTCATTTACACTTACGGCATGCATTGTTCAAATGAGATGTCCTTTTCAATCGACTGGGAGGTCGCTAGCCATTGTGGGCGGCCATTGGTCCTTGGCAGATGTCTACAAATGAATGCCAGTCCTCCAAAAGGGTATGTGATCAAGGTTATCTCTTTGCAGAGAGTCACTTTAGAGGGGATAGCCTGTGGGATCTTCTACTTTAGGCTGATAGGTACTGATAGATGCATGTGGTGCTGCATGCTGCTTTGTGCTCGCCTTGCATTTGCGTGAAGCCTAGCCTTTCATCGGAGCGTTTCAGGGAATCACAAGAACACAACAGAACAATCCAAAAAGGAGAGATGCGCATCCATTTGATGCTTTGTGTTCTTTGCCTTTGATCAGATAGGGTCTTGAACTCGAAACATTCCATGAAAGCAAAAGCAGGTTGTGGATGGCTTCCAGAGGTAGTTGACTGGACACATGTAGAAACGTTGGCAACGCCAAGGCGTCATGGTTCCCCTCGACAGTTGGTGGCGACACCCTCGCCCGCTGTCGCCCACCTCCTCTCCCAGGAGAAAGGAAGCTCTATGAGTCTGTTCGATGGAAGGAAAGCTCTTCATCTGGGAGCCAAACCTTTTGAGCTTTTTGGGGATGGATCTGCAGGAGTTTCGTGTGTTTCATACACGCACAGCAGTGCACAACATGATCAGGTTGACTCATGTTGACTCTATAAACCGAACTCCTCAAGTATGTCACCTGCAATCCTGCAATCCTGCTGGCATTGCAACGAACTGGAACGAAGAAAACAAACAAGAGTTCGAACACCCACCCTTGCAGCCGAACGATCCCTGCCAGCACCCTCGAATCTGTTTGGTTGTGGGTCGCAGCCTTCAAATCAAAATCCTGCTATCCAGAAACCAACGGATGCCTATACTCCGCCTAATATGGAAAACCCTTGGAAGGCGAGTTTCCACAAAGTTTTTATTATTTCCCTGATGTGTTTGTACCTGTATATATTTGCTTCAAGTCGTGTCCTTCACGACTCAAAGTCTCTCCGCCAAGCCACAAAACGCTGCCAGCAGCAAGATTCGGGCTTCCAGCGATCTCTCCACTAAGCCAGCCTTCCAGCATGCACAAGCCACCAAGTACTGCACGTTGGGGGTTGGTTGCCCACCAGTACAAGAGCCCATGCAACAAATCGATTTGGATGTCAAAAGATTCTCAACACTCGGAGAAAAGAGCTGGCAGCACTCGCAGTGGGGCGTCGCAGGGTCCTGCGACGTCCCAAAAACCACTGCGACGTCCGAACAATGCGGGTCAAGCGGGTCAAACCACCCGCAACCACCACGCGAAGACACATGTGTTCCTCGTTGGACAAAAGGTGATGGGGATACCGGGCAGTAAAAAGGACCACTGTGAAAGCGTCGTTGACGCCGGGAGAGCCATCACCATTCTCCATTCTAGAGTGCCAAGGAGAGCCATTCCTGGTGACTCCCAAGCGGTTTCCCGGCAAAGGCTGTTGGACATGAAACTCGAAACTCTCGAAGGCGTAGTTTAGGAACCCCTCGGGCCCATGACTGTCTACAGAAGGGGAAAACCACGAGCGTACGACAAAACATGTGAAAAAACCCGATCGGTTCAGGGATTCCGATCGAACCTGGGAGTGGCCCAAGCATTGAATCCATGGAGTGGCTAGTGCACAACCTCCCCATGCAAATCGTTTGCATGAGGCGCTCGAATCACCTAACACGTCCGCTGAAAACCTAAAAGGGAGGTCCTCTCTGTCATCATGCTCATTGGCTCAACAAACAGGTGCACCTCCCAACAATACACCCAAAACACACCAAAAAACAACAAAAGCCAACAAAAAAAGAACTCTACATCTGGCAATCTCTTCTACATCTACATCTGGCTATCTTACATCTGGCAATCTATCATCTTGGCGAATGACCCGTCCTCCCTCCACCCACCAGGTCCGCCCAGGTCCGCCCAGGTCCGCCCATCCCCAACCTCCAAGACGTCGACGGCCTCCAGGATTCGCCCACGCAGCTCAGACCGCTCGCGGGCGGTGCCGACTGGCGCGGGAGCGTTTTCTTCGCACCAGCGCCTTGGTGGTGAAGCCGTGAGTGGCTTCATCCCGGTGAGGTGGTGAAGCAGTGCGAAAGCGAAGGAAAGAAGGCGAAAGAAAGACCCATTTGGGGCGACTTGGTCAATTTTCACTTGGGGCTCGGACCCAACCGAAAAGAGCGCACGCCGGAAGAAAGCGCACACCCAGATCGCCAGTAGACTACATGACTTGGGGCTCGAAAAGAAGACCGCGGAACGCAACGACTGAGAGCAGTGACTCGACTATCTTCATTCACCACAACACCATGCCGAAGAATGCCCCTCCAAAGTGCATCCACGTTTGGCCCCAAATGCTCAAATCGCACCTTGCCACATCACGCTCTCACAGATTCCACGATTGCCGAAAAACCTACGAGCACAACCCGGTTACGGTTGGTGAGCATAGTCCCACTCACCTACCAACCTGAGAAATCAGATTGCCCACTGTTTTGATTCCCGATATATAGTACTTGAAATAAGGTCCCACAGATTTAATAATGATCAAAAGGAGTCAAAAGCAGTTTATGAGAGAATTGAATTGTGAAAGGAAATCAAAAGGACTCAAAAAGATTTATTCGGGACATTGAAAGTCTAGAAAGGGTTCAAAAGGAAATTTAAAGGATAATAGAAGTATCTAGATAAAAAGAAACAAATCTGTCAGTATTCTCAAACACTGATGGGGAAAGCTTGGTTTTTGTTTTTGAAATGATAACCCTAGGACATAGAACAGCTAGATAAGAGCCAATAATACGGTATAAGAAGGAACTTGACAGTCTAAACCAAATCAATCCCATTTTTTCAACCAAAGAAATGATGCAAAGGAATTGAGGAAAACAGAAGGGAAGCAACATATGTCCGGATTTGCAAAGAAAAACAGATATGAAAAGACAGATATGAATTGCCGTTCTCCGCGTGCCGAACGCGTTGCCGCGTCCGGCGGAGTTTTTCAAAACAACGACCGGACCGTGGAAGGTTCCACCGCCTGCGTCGGTCGCACCCTTTTGAGAGGTTTTTTGTGACCTGAACTAGGACCCGGGCAACCTGGGGTACCCGGTCCTGGGATAGTCGAACTAGGCTTCTGAAAGCCTCTGTTGGTCTGGCATCCCCAGCACTTTCACCCCCACACCGCAGAACTTCTCTCCAGGGCTCCGCATCCTCTCCTGTGCTGCCAGATCGATCGGAGCTTCGACCTGCGGTTCAGTCACCCTCGGCCGCCCTCGGCCCCCCACCCGCGCACCAAAAGCAGCGACCGAGCTCATCTCCGTGCTGAATCAGTCAATTCATCTTTTTTGCGGGGAGGACAAGCCTGCACCTGAACATACCCCAAAAGAAAAACGGATTTCGTGCGATTTCTAGTAGGGATATCCGTCGTAGTAGGCAACGGGAAGACCTAAACGGGCACAGGCTCAGACTCTTCGCGGAGGAATGGAATTAAAAGGGTCCTCTCTGTGGAAAAGTCGAAGTTGTAGAAGGATCCCTGGTAGAGGTTTTATCAGTCCAAAAGACCTACTATGCTCAACTAACAGAAGTGGAGTGGAGTTCACCATCTGTTTGTACACGAAGAGTGTCATCCAAGGGGCCTTTGTCCATTTCCATGACTATCTCAGGGAGTGTACGGTCTCATTGTTTACATCGATTCATCGATTCTGCTAGCAAGGGTTCTTGATCCATTTCCTTAACCTGGGAATGCATTTCTATTTGGTCATTTGGTCCAGAACATGCAACAAGGCCATCTTGTCAATACATTTACATGGTATGATAGGCGTGCCTGTTTCCGGCCAACAACAGCTAAGCACGATTGTTTCCAAGGATACCTTGAGTGGGGAACAAATGGAAACAAGCATGTTTTGGCTGTTTTGGTTCTATGAGAAAACCTCTTCCCTGCCGAAGAAGGACAAGAACCCATTGGTTAACGCAGAATCTAGTTGAGAATCTGATAGTCGCTATCACACTTTAGAACACTTCTTCGTCACAAAGGACTTCTCCCCTCACCATACCTTCCAAATGCTGAAGGAATTTGGGCACTGCCAAGTTGCCAAGCGAAGGAACCATGCTCACCATACCTTCGACCCCTGACCCCTGACTCACCTACTTCGACCCCTGACGCTCGGTGTTCGCACCATCCCGAGGGGCTCAGGTCCAACGCCGAGGCACGGAACGGGTGTCCAACGCCGAAGCCCCTCGTCTCAACGAGGGTCGCGGCTGCCGCGTGCGCGGGCGACGAAGGCGTCGCGGAGGCTGCGTCCTCCGTCTTGAGAAACGTGGGCGTGAAAGAAACATGTAAAAAGCAAACATGGAGGAAAAACCCAGAGGAAAAACCCATGAAAAGGGGCAATGCATCAGTGCGTGTCAATCCGGAAACGTTCATTTTGACCAACAGAAGCGCAAGCCAACTCGGAGGTGTTGTGTTGATTGAGTCGCAGTTGTTGAAACCTGGAGGCTTGTTCCCATACAGCAAGCCTTCCCCCTTGACCTGTCCAGGTCTTCACCATGGAGGAAATACGGAAGAAGCTGACATAGCCCAACTGGTCAAGGAAAACGGTATATCAACAACATACAAGCTGGAACTGGAGGATGGTAATGGTACTTCTTTGACAATGAAGACACCCCAAAATAAACGGAATTCCGCTGGAAGCACGTGGATCGATGATAGCTATCAACCACTTGCATTGTAGTCCTTATACAATGTATACAGTTAATCTATATACAGGTACATATATATGATATGACCATTGTGATGGGTAAAGGGAGATGGCGCCACTTCGAGCGGTGTGCGGTGTGAAAGCATGAGATATACTCACTGACTCATGTTAGCATCGCTATTCAAACATCATCAAGTATCGCCACCCTGGACCTTCAAAGGGGTGTTTTATGGAGATCCCTAAGTAGCGTAGGGGCTTCCATTGGTGACCCCTTTGGGGGTGCTGGACTATTCAAACATCGGTTAGGGCAAATTGCAGGTGCAGGTACCCGAGTGGTGCCTGTTATCACGGCCCCTTTTTTTCACAGCCCCTTGATCTCAACGAAACCAAGCATGTCTGGAACACATCCTCCATGCGCGGAACTTCTACTTTGCCCCACCAAGAGACATGTCGTTCAAAACAATCAGCAAACAAATTCAAACCGGAAAGCTACCAAAAATATATGGGCTACACGGGGGAGGTGTTCAATCTTTTTTTGATCATCCAGGACATGCCCCAGACCCATCCGTCGGCGCCTCAACCCATAGAGCACTGGAATCACCCCCAATGCGGCCGGACACCGCGCCGGACACCGTGCGGCAAAACGGCTCTTGGGAACAGAGAGATCAGGGATCTCTGACCTGCCGTGGGGATGATGTCCGAGGACGCTCATTGTGGGACCATCCAAGAAGGGTAAGCCCACGTCAGCCAATCACCCCCAATCTGATTGGCTGTGCCATCTCCTCTGAAGTCGCAGGATTCATGAACTGACCATCGACAACCCACTACTACTCCGAACGGCTCATGGAGTTGATGATCATGTACAACCAGGTCAAAACCCTCTGGTCTGGCACCATCACGCCTCCAGTGCAGCAGCTGCGCCTTCTTCCCGCGAAGTTTCCGCAGGCGGAAAGCGGGCATCGCGGGTGTGGGGGCGGCCGCAGCCACGAGCGACTGGAGCAACATCTCAAGATAGCATGGCAGGTTTTCTGCTTGAAAAAGGAAAAACTCTGCCGAACTCTATGTCGGGCAAAACCCAGAAAAAGGGGCTGTGGTTGTGGAATCTATGGTAACTTGTGTTGTCAATTGAAGGGTTGCTGGGTTTGAGGTGTTAGCCCACCGTTGCCCGATGATCCCGTGAAGATTCATGGGGTGGCTGGTTTCCGCCGGAGCAAGCTCGCCAGTTGAGTTTCAGGGGATCCAGATGGACTTATTGGTGGACCATTTGGTGCTTCACACTTCGCTGACAAAGGTTCATCCTGCTTCCTCTGTCGGAACCCAAGTTTTGCTGTGGAGCCTGGCCAAGCTCTGCATGTCATTGGATTTGCACAAGTTCCCAGTACACCCCCGCAGGCGACCACATGGATTCTACGGCTGTCGTCATCGGGGTCAGTCCAAGATTCAGTTTTGGAGACGAGGTTTGTCAGCTCAAATTAAACAAGAACCGTTCGAAGTCATTGGAACCTATGTCCAACATCATGTTGACAGAATGAAATAATCTGTTAAGGATCTGCATTCCAACAAAATTTCACCTCCAACGTCGATCTTTTCCCCTGCATTGCACTTGATCGGAATCTGCATGCCCACATCTTTACCCAAAATTGAAGGACCCCTGACAACACTGCATGTGAAATTTTTGTTCTTGCAACAAGCAGCGGAAGAAAGAACAAGAAAAAAAGGAGAAGTGGTGGATGAGTGCGCGCCGAAATGCGAAGTACGATGATGAATATACTTGTGAATATTTTGTCGTTTGTGAGTGGAGTGGAGTGGAGTGGAGAGTGGAGAGTGGAGAGTGGAGAGTGGAGAGTGGAGAGTGGAGAGTGGAGAGTGGAGAGTGGAGTGTGGAGTGGAGAGTGGAGAGTGGAGAGTGGAGAGTGGAGAGTGGAGAGTGGAGAGTGGAGAGTGGAGAGTGGAGAGTGGAGAGTGGAGAGTGGAGTGGGGTGGAAGGGAGTGGAGCGGAGTGGAGTGGAGTGGGGTGGGGAGTGGAGTGG